ATTTAGTGAACACAACGCTGGGAAAAACATTCTTGAGGTTCACTAACCTCAGCGTCAATATAGTAGGTATGTCTGTCGTTTTTATTAACATTAAGAACATTTTAATTATTACATTGAAGTGAATAATTTAATTACCCAACAAAAAGCAAAAATTACGACTAAAACAATAAACAAGAATTTGAAATTCTAACCAACAGACGAACAGATTCATGACATAAGCAAAATATTTATTTCAATATAAAAGAAAAGATTTTTGATAAAACAAAATAAAGCTCAGAAAGTTATTTTTTTGCCTTCCAACATTTATATTAGAAATAGTTTTGACCCAGAACTTTAATACATTTATTATGACTCTATTTAGTTTAGTCTTGTAGAGACTATCCATTGATTATACTAAAATATCCTAAAGAAGTCTCACTATATGGTTTTTGTCCTTTTCATATGTCAAAAAGCTTGAATTCAACAGTGTTAATTATTAAATTATTGGGCAGGTCTATCAGGAATCATCAGAGACCGGGATCGTCTGACACAAACAGTTTTTCCATCAAGAGTGACCGATCCATAAATGAGCCCATTTACTTTAATGTTGAACATTTAAAGGCAGATCAAAGGTAAGATAAAAGTACTCAATGAAATCCATTTCTTAAAAATGGCACTGTTGTGCATATGGATGTTACCCTTACTAAAACCTAATAAAACAAGCAAAGTTGAGTTTAAATGAGGTGAAATGATGCTGTTAGCAATGACCATGTTCCATGCTGTTAGGATCCAGCAGCAGGGACCAGACTCTGCTGAACTGAGCTCTGTTCCCATGGAGAGTTATGAGTCAATGTATGAACCTACTTACGCTGGACACCATTTAAAAGCAGATTGGTAAGATTATAAGACTCAGGCAAATGCATTCATTTACCAAATGAATACACTTACTGTTACTGTACAATTGCATTACAACAGTCTCACTGACAATACACCTCACAACAATCTCTAGGATTACAGCTTCATGTTTTTAATTTAAAGTGTAACTTCAAGAGAATGAATATTGTGATTCCAATGGTGCTGTTTTCTTCTCGGTCGGCTAATTATTCTCACTTATTTACATCAGACCATGTTGCTAAGGCAGACTGTAGCACCTTTTTTTTGTATCTACTCTTTGGTCTAAAATCCTAATATCAAAGTTTGGCTACATCAAAATGAATCATTTTAATACTGGAAAGGAAAATTCTACTAAGATTTTGAGCTTTGTTTAACTCATGATTTTGGTTTTATCTTGTCATAGAAAATGTTAGGGAGATACGTTTCAAATGAAACACTCTTTTATTTCTACAAGGATTTATCAACAGGCAGAGAACTCTCCCGAAGCCAGCTTTACACCTTTCAAGAGTGACCACTCTGTGCATCAACCTACTTATTGTGGACACGACCCAGCTTATCACAGGTAAACATTTAAAGGGGTTATAATATTGTACTATTGAGAAGTCATATGGCAAGATGCCAGAAATGGCTCTGAACCCTCGTCGATAATATAATGACAATTAAACTTTGAAACAACTCCTACTACTATAGCACTCAACCCTGGTGAGGATTCTAACCAAACTGGAAAGATTTAAAATAAATCTGGGAAGAAAAATGGCACCCAGTCAAAAAGAACGAAGTGTGCAGTTGCTCCTGTCAACTGTTGCTATCGGAGAAGCTAAGCCCGCTAGTCTTGATAGCCAAGAAGGTCAGAAAATAGATAAAACAATGGCCTGTTTGCTGAGATTGCGAAGATCAGGGTGACACTGTACGGTGTTGCAGCTGATGTCAAATCCAACACAACAGAACTCCAGAACTCTGAAGCTGCAATCCAAACGAGTCTGACAGAGGCTGAAAGTCGTATCTCCGACTTGGCTAACGATAACGGCAAGCTATTTAAAAAAGTAGAACAACTTTGGACCTGGATTGATAAATTGATTGATCACGTAAACAATATCATGTTGCCAACTAACCCTGGCAGAGGGTTGTTGGCACCATGCCCCTCCCCTGTTTTAAATGCACCTTAAACAGCATGCATCAACACCACATATCAGTGGGTGGAGTAAGGTTTGGGGTCTTCACAACCATGTTCTCTGTTCACCATCTGGGGCGGGGGCTGGGAGGAGGAGATGGCCATCTGGGACTGTCTGGGGGCAGTCTGCTCATCTCCACCCAAGAGTAAAGTGAACCATCTCCTGGGTCTGGGGGCAGATTGCCCCTTCAAGGGTGCTGGTCTTTTTTGAGGTAGGATGGATTCCCAGAACACCGGGAGTATAGAGTTCATTGGGGAGTGTGAGCATGTGTACTCCCACGCTCATGCACACATATTCGAATAATCATGCATCACCGAACATGGAAACACATAGAAATGTACATGTTTGGGTCTGCGTGTGTGCCTGTTTGTCTATATCTATGTGTCAGCTCTTAAACTCCTCCTCTCTCAAAATTACCATTCAATGCTAAGATTTTAGAAAAGGTTGTGGCTAAGCAGCTTAAGCTGTTCAAGATAAATTCCAGTCTGGCTTTCGTAGAGCTCACTCTACTGAAACTGCAGCTGAGACTGAAGAAGTCACCTGGATGAGTGACAAAATGTTTCTCCCACTGAAAACGCTACGTCCAGATGAACAGAATCAACCTTTTGGGATTTACTTAACTGGACGATTGATGCTTTTTTTAATGCCTCACTGAGTTTTGTTTTTTGTTGAAATATCTATTTCTTTAAATGTTTAAAAATAGTTTTAAAAAACAAATTTAAAAAACTTACTATTGAACTAATGATTTATAAAGAAATGATCTTTACGAGAATTCATGACAACAGAATTACTTCTCTGTACATCTTTCATTTGCAGAATTAACCAGGACACATCAGATCAATCTGAGCACAAAAATCACCTGGACTCCGTGTTTATGGTGTGTAAAAAGAAACACACAACTGCTACACTAAATCAAGAATCATATAGTAAACAGTCATAGCACTAAAAGTGTGGCACAGTGGTAGATTCATAGTTCAGTGGTAGTGGTAGTTCATGTTCAACATAAAGTTTATATCTCTCTATTCCAGCTCCTTGAGAAAAAAATTGTCACATTTATGAAAAATGAGCTAAAGGAGTTCAGGAGATTTCTGAGTCAGAGCCTGGATGATGATGAGACAGTGATGTATGAGGATAAAGAGAAGAGAAGCAGCAGGGAGGCATTTCTGAAGATCACACTTCACTTTCTGGGGAGAATGAATGAGGAGGAGCTGGCTCACCGTCTTCAAAGCAGTAAGACTTTTTGTTTTATTTTGTAGCCTTAAAGTCTATATTTACAATAGGATTTTATAAATGAAAGAAAAAAAACCTCAAATTCTTTCACTCACAAATATTTGGATATCAAGATTGCTATCACTTGGGAATGAAGCAGACAGGTGTATCTCAAACAGCTATGTCTGTTTTGGTTTATTAAATTAAACATTTACATTGTAAATATACACATATAAATATATGCATACATCATTGCTCTTCATGCAGGAACTCATGCTGAAGTTGGCAAACGTAAACTAAAATCCAAGTTGAAAAAGAAGTTCCAGTGTGTGTTTGAGGGCATCGCTAAAGCAGGAAACCCAACCCTTCTGAATCAGATCTACACAGAGGGAGGGACTGCAGAGGTCAGTGATGAACATGAGGTCAGACAGATTGAAACAGCAAATAGGAAACCACACAGACCAGAAACAACAATCAGACAAGAAGACATCTTTAAAGCCTCACCTGGAAGAGATGAATCAATCAGAACAGTGCTGACAAAGGGAGTGGCTGGCATTGGGAAAACAGTCTTAACACAGAAATACACCCTGGACTGGGCTGAAGACAAAGCCAACCAGGACATCCAGTTCATATTTCCATTCACTTTCAGAGAGCTGAATGTGCTGAAAGAGGAGAAGTTCAGCTTGGTGGGACTTGTTCATCACTTCTTTACTGAAACCAAAGAAGCAGGAATCTGCAGCTTTGAAGACTTCCAGGTTGTGTTCATCTTTGATGGTCTGGATGAGTGTCGACTTCCTCTGGACTTCCACAAAACTACAATCCTAACTGACCCTAGAAAGTCCACCTCAGTGGATGTGCTGCTGATAAACCTCATCAGGGGGAAACTGCTTCCCTCTGCTCGCCTCTGGATAACCACACGACCTGCAGCAGCCAATCAGATCCCTTCTAACTGTGTTGACATGGTGACAGAGGTCAGAGGGTTCACTGACCAACAGAAGGAGGAGTACTTCAGGAAGAGATTCACAGATAAGAAACAGGCCAGCAGGATCATCTCCCACATCAAGACATCACGAAGCCTCCACATCATGTGCCACATCCCAGTCTTCTGCTGGATCACTGCTACAGTTCTGGAGGATGTGCTGAAAACCAGAGAGGGAGGACAGCTGCCCAAGACCCTGACTGAGATGTACACCCACTTCCTGGTGGTTCAAACAAAAACGGCAATTGTCAAATATGATGGAAAACGTGAAACACATCCAATCTGGATTAAGAAGAGCAGGACGATGATTGAGTCTCTGGGAAAACTGGCTTTTGATCAGCTGCAGAAAGGAAACCTGATCTTCTATGAATCAGACCTGACAGAGTGTGGCATCGATATCAGAGCAGCCTCAGTGTACTCAGGAGTGTTCACACAGATCTTTAAAGAAGAGAGAGGACTGTACCAGGACAAGGTGTTCTGCTTCATCCATCTGAGTGTTCAGGAGTTTCTGGCTGCTCTTCATGTCCATCTGACCTTCATCAACTCTGGACTCAATCTGCTGGAAGATCAACAAGCAAATTTCAACAATATCGCTGTATTTAAAGACATACCTAAGCTGAAACATCTTTACCAGAGTGCTGTGGATAAGGCCTTAGAGAGTCCAAATGGACACCTGGACTTGTTTCTCCGCTTCCTCCTGGGTTTTTCAGTGGAGACCAATCAGACTCTCCTACAAGGCCTTCTGACACAGACAGGAAGTAACCCATCAACCAGACATAAAACTGTTGAATTTATCACCAAGAAGATCGGAGGAACTCTGTCTGCAGAGAAAAGCATCAATCTGTTCCACTGTCTGATTGAACTGAATGATCGTTCTTTAATGAAGGGCATCCAAAACTCTCTGGTTTTAGGACGTCTGTCCACAGATAAACTGTCTCCTGCTCAGTGGTCAGCTCTGGTCTTCATCTTACTGTCATCAGAAAAAGATCTGGATGTGTTTGACCTGAAGAAATACTCTGCATCAGAGGAGGCTCTTCTGAGGCTGCTGCCAGTGGTGAAAGCCACAAACAAAGCTCTGTGAGTCAATTAATAATGTTATTTTTAGGAAAAAGAATCCTTAATTTACTAGTAAATGGATATTGAAACTAATGGATTGTCTTGCAGGCTGTGTGACTGTAATTTGACAGAGAACAGTTGTGAAGCTCTGTCCTCAGTTCTCAGCTCTCAGTCATCTAGGCTGAGAGAACTGGACCTGAGTAACAACAACCTAAAGGATTCTGGGGTGATGCTGTTGGCTGCTGGAGTAAAGAGTCCACACTGCAGGGTGGAATCTCTCAGGTCAGGGTACAGCTATCTTTTCAACAAAAAAGAAAAGCAACTATTAATTCAGCTTAACTTTGAGTTTTTTTTACACCAGAGCCTCTTTTGAGTTTGACATGACAGTCTTTTCTTCACCAAGACGCTGCATTATGTTTGCTGCATATTTGTAGTTTACATATTAATGCTGTATGAATTTCAAAGGTTTTCTACTCTCGACTGGAGTCTTCTGACTGGAGCCCACTGAAGTCATTTTTCATTGTTATTGCAAAATAAGATTAGATGGTGTGCTTTGTTATTCTACTATACTCGCCTCTGTCAGTGCGCCCCAGGGCGGCTGTGGCTACAATGTAGCTTGCCATTACCAGTGTGTGAATGTGTGTGTGAATGGGTGGATGACTGGATGTGTAAAGAGCTTTGGGGTCATTAGGGACTAGAAAAGCGCTATATAAATACAGGCCATTTACCATTTATAAATACCAGTTAGAAGATGGACAGTAGCCATAAATTGCTATAGAAGGCCAATTGCATGCCCGTTGTAGCCTCAGTTTGAAGTCTCTTTTTGCTGATACTTTTGTTTTGTATCAGCAAAAGTGGTGGAATAGTTTCTGAAATCATGGCCTATTCAAAGGCCTGTATTAAAAATTTCTGTCTTTTCATGTTGTAATTAATGGTTATTTGAATGTCTGTTGTTGTTGCCAGCTTAAATGACTGGTTACTAGCCAGCCTGTTGTGACCTCTCTGTGCTCAGTTGTCTGTTAAACTATGTTTGTCTGAACAACAGCTAAAACCCTTTACTATATCGAACAACTGCGTGTGTGTGTGTGTGTGTGCACAGGCTATCAGGTTGTCTAATCACAGAGGAAGGTTGTGCTTCTCTAGCTTCAGCACTGAGCTCAAACCCCTCCTATTTGAGAGAGCTGGATCTGCGTAATAATAGCCTGCAGGACTCAGGAGTGAATTTGCTGCTTGCAGGATTGAAGGATCCATATTGGAGGCTTGATATTCTCAGGTACCCCCTTCTATTTTACCTTTAACCAGAAAATCCCTTCAAATTATAATCATGGACATAAAATTACAAGTGCATAAAAACAACAAGGCCAGAAAAGTCTGTTTCATTCATGATAAATAAACATTTGTGTTTCATACTGTAGAGTGGACAGTGGTGGAGAGTGGAAGGTAACTCTTGGTCTAAGGAAATGTAAGTGGCACATGCTATATCTCCAGTATTTTCTCAAAGTTTTTGGATTAGATCTTCTGGGTGTTCTGGAAAATAAATGGTAGTCAGAATATTTGACTTGTGCAACTGATTTTATTTGCTGTCAAGAAAACAGAAGTTTAATAGATTAAGGTTTAATTAATAGGTTTGACAGTGGATCTGATCTATAACTAAGGTATCAATTAACATCTTCAAATGTTTTCTGTAAACCTTTAATTAGCTACTCTGCTCATAGATCTATGTATGCTAAAGTCATCAGTTACACAAAACAATAAACAGTTTCTTCATTTTCTTCTCTTTCCTCCACCAGTTGCTTGTGAGCTAACATTGGACCTGAACACCACACACAAAAACCTGAAACTGTTTAACAACAACAGGAGGATGAAAGTACTGAAGCAGCAGCAGCCTTATCCTGATCACCCAGAGAGATTTGATATGTTTTGCCAAGTGCTGTGTAAAAATGGCCTGGCTGGTCGTTGTTACTGGGAAGTTGAGTGGGAAGGAAATGTTAACATAGCAGTGACTCACAGAGGGATCCCAAGGAAAGGCTACAGCAGGGCTTCCAGGTTTGGAGGGAATGATCAGTCCTGGAGTTTGACTTGCTCTGATGACGGTTACTCTGTCTGGCACAATGATAAAGAAACATCCATCTCCTCCTCCTCTGTCTCTAACAGAGTAGCAGTGTATGTGGACTGTCCTGCTGGGACTCTGTCCTTCTACAGAGTCTCTTCCGACACTCTGATCCACCTCCACACCTTCTCCATCAAATTTGCCCAACTTCTCTATCCTGGGTTTACAGTCTGGGATGGTTCAGTCACTCTTTGTTCAGTGACAGAATCAGACTGCTGACTGAAAATCAAAGTTTTTAAAATCAGGCACACCAATAAAGGGGTTTCTAGGGGTTCATATGATTAGGTTTGTTCTACACATTGTCAAGGAAAGCCAGAAGCTCATTTACCTCACAGTAGTCAACACAGAACTGTATAGACCCATCTTTCTTCACCACAAGAACTATGGGGCTAGGATTAGGTGTGACTATTCCATCCAAATCCCCTGGGTGAGCAGGGTAATGAGAGCTCAGTGGTTCCTGTAGAAAAACTCAATGATTTCAAACAAACTGTGCTGTTGTATCTGATAAGGATGATTGATTTTGCAGCAAAAGAATAACTCTTCTTTATACTTCTGCAACGCAGTCCTCAGGAGATGGAAGGTTGTAGTTTTAATGTTTGCGGTTTCCTGCGATTCACACAGATGTGGAGATGGAGGAGGGGTCTGTAATAAAAATGCTGTAGGGGGAGAATCAGGGGCTCCCAGAATGCAATGGGTCGTGTCTGCAAAAAGAAGTCCATACATCCTCATTTTATTTTTTAATTTTTTAAAATGCTTTTATCTCTCTCTGTTATCTAAGTCCAGCTTCCAATCACAACCACATTCAAATCCTCATGCAAAGCTCTTCACAATAAAAATGGATGCTTGTAAAAATGATCCATGCAAAATGTAAATGCTTTTTTAAACTTATGAACAATGTTGCCTCTAATTTTTCATGTGTGTGAGCGAACTCACAGACTCCCTGAGGACCCTTGGACCACGGTGAGCGACATTAGATGTGTACACTGTGGTGACGACAGCATCGCATCCATCAAAGTTACATGGTTTATAAAAAGAGCCAAATCAAAGCATTTGCATTTCTGTTGGAATACCTTCAATTAAGAGCTTTAGCCCACTTACAGTGAAAATTACAAAAATCTTTTTTTAATGACCTGTGCACTACGTCAACGCTATTGGAAGTATGAATATGTAACTTTAACTATGGCAAAACATCAACTGCCAACCAAATCAAGCCTATTATAAACTCCAATTTTGAAACTTAATATTTTTATTATAAAGCTCTGACTTGTTTTATGATGAATATGAAGCGCCTTGAGGCGACTTTTGTTGTGATTTGGCGCTATATAAATAAAATTGAATTGAATTGAATTGAATAAGTATGAGCCAGTTTGAGAAGCTCCTGGTCCTCCTGTCCTACTGCGGTCTGGGGACAGTCCTACTGTCCTGTAACTCTTTGTCTGCAAAATACAGTATATAATGACACAATTATTTGCATTTCTAATACTCATAAACTAGTGACAGTATTTAATGATCAATATCCATAAATGAAAACTCAATAAATGACACTAGATGAGTAGTAAACTTATTCAGAGCTTAAATTTCACCTTGTTTTTCCCGTCTGTCCATCTCACGTCTCCAGTGGATTTACACGTCGCCCTTGTTGATGGCCTCATCTGCTTGCAGCTTTGACTTTATGCGCATCAGCTGGTCCAAATGGTCCACCTCAAGACGATTCTGGATGCTGTTTTGATACGATTCATTAAACTAAAGCCTCTTTGGCAATCTGCACTGGATGCTTGAAACGTAGAACAAATATCCACAAGCTGTGAGATGTATTTTAGCTCTTCACATTTTAGCGTTGCATCCACCATATCTGAGAATGTGTTGATTGACCCATGTTTAAGTTTGTGCCTCATTATGTACTTGAAATCAGAATTATTCACTGTTTATGACCTCCACTGAATGTGGAGAGTGGAGAATGGCCTCATACTTCTTTGCCAGCATGGCAATGTCTCCTGCTCCATACTCAAAGCTGATGTCTGAGTTCAATGCCTCAATGTCAAATGCAGACCACTCCTTTAATTCATCCTCTGGAAAACGAGCATCCAAGTGATCACAAAGCTTACGAATAACACGAGTAATCTCATCAGCAGATGAGGCCCTCATCGCCTCTTTGACACGGTCACTCCACTTAACACCCTTTTCTCTGTCAAGTATTGGGAATGCAACTTCTCAATCTTTGCTCTTGCCAAGCAGTGCCCTTCAGTCAGGTTGCATCTTTGAAAAGAAAGACACAGGTGTGCCAGCTCACCCAAAACATCTCCCAGAGCGGTGAGAGCAACCTTGAAGTTGGTTAGCTTTTTGTAATTTGCCACTGGGTCTCTGTTATCACTGGATTCTCTCTTGCAGTATTCTTCCAGCACAGTGTAGTTCCTCAGCATTCACAGCTTGGTGCCGCGACAGCCATCACACTTCACTCAGAGGCCTGAATGACAGTGCGTCCTCATCAAGAACCTTTGCTAGTGTGGGGATGAACAAAAGTATTTTACCAGCACAATATAATCTGCAGTGTGATCATTGCTTTAACAATGTTACAGATAGCTTTAAGATGGCCTTAAGATGTTTATGCATACTGTTATCATATTAACCTTGTGTTCCAGATGCAGTTATAACTATTTTATACACATTGCATATCTGTGCTTATTTTGAATGGATGTTCGGTTCATTAAGGGTCTTAAGCTTCACTGGCGTGACTGTCCAGGTGAT